GAAGGAGGAAGGAAGGAAGGAGGAAGGAAGGAAGGAAGGAAGGAAGGGAGGGAGGGAGGGAGAAAGGAAAGGGCTGTCAAGGATGCGGAGAAACTGCAACCCTTGTGCCTCGCTGGCGGGAATGTAAAATGCTGCAGCTGCTGTTGGAAAACAGTACGGCAGTTCCTCAAAAAGTTAAATGTAAAATGACCATATGACCCAGCAATTCTACCTCTGGGTATATACACAAAAGAACTGAAAGCAGGGACCCAAAAAGATATTTGTACCCCTACGTTCAGAGCAGCATTATTCATGGCCAAGAAGTAGAGGCCACCCAAGTGTCCATCAACAGATTAATGGATACACAAAATGTGACGTATACATTAAACGGAAAACTATTCAGCCTTAAAATGGAAGGAATTCTGACACACACTACAACATGGGTGAAGCCTGAGGACATGATGTGAAATAAAGCAGACACACAAGGACACATATTGTATGATTCCACTTACAGGACATACCTACAGTTGTCAAAATGATGGACACAGAAAATAGAATGGCAGTTACCAGGGGCTGGGGGCTGCGGGAGTCAGTGCTTCACGGCCACAGAGTCTCAGTTTGGGGTGATGAAGACGTTTTGGAGATGGACGGTGGTGATGGTGGTACAACAGTGTGAGTGTACATAAGGCCACTGACACACGGACAAATGGTTAAGGTGGTAAACTGGTGTTATGTCCATCTTACCATAATTAAGAATGGTTAAAAATGTTTCCGAAGTTAGTTAAGTGAAGAAGGTACGAGGGCGGAAACGATCACTGTCACTTAGAGCTCCTGAGGATTTCACTCACGTACTGAAGAATTTGTCCCCAAAGGTCAGCATCTCAGACACCTTCTTTTCCACGCCTGAGGCACACCACCGGCCCAAAGAGCGCTACCGCCCAGGTGTTGACCCGAAGCAATTGCACCAGTGTCTAAAGAACCAGCCAAGGACTTCCCTGGCGGTCCAGTGGTTAGGACTTCCCCTTCCAGTGCCAGGAGTGCGGGTTCGATCCCTGATCAGGGAGCTAAGATCCCACATGCCTCGTGGCCAAAAGACCAAAACAGAAAACAAAAGCAGTATTGTTAACAAATTCAATAAAGACTTTGAAAATGGTCTGCGTCCAAAAAAAAAAATCTTAAAAAGAAAAAAGAAAGAATGATCCAGCAGGCACCAATATTTGCAGAATTAACGAGTGAGGGAATCTGAAGCAACGGATTGGAAATGCGTCTATGATTAGGGAGAGGGAATATACTCCATTGGTGGCTCAGAAAGCACGGCCGAAATCCCCAACGGATTGTCTGATGGAACTGCTGGGCAGGCAGAGATGGTCTCTCCCGCCCTGTCCTGCCGGGGCTCTCAGACCAGTGAAAGGAAAGGGGAGGAAACGGCTAGAGAGAAATGAGGTCAAGGGCCCATGTTTTAGGCAAAGGCGGCGGGTCTGAAAACCATTAAAATCTGACCCTATAAGAGGCATTTTCCAAACACCTGGGAGCCTCACGGACCCGAGGGGAGGGACTGATTTATTTCCAGAGACCCAGAACCACAGTCCCTCTGTCATCTGCCCGAATGCGGCTGCTTCTGTTTTCACCACCCCCAGAAGGCAACTGGTTTCAAGACTTCTGTGTAGAAACCTGTACCAACACACCAAATACGGGAGGAGGTGATGATTCACATCACCAAAAGAATTCTTTGACAGAAACTTGCCACTTCAGCATTCCTGTAGCTTACAAATTTCCTCCAGGCCTTTCACATATCACGTGATCAACCGAGATTGGTTTTTGTATAGATATTCTTCCAGGAACAAACCTAGTCCGTAAAGCAAGGGAGCCGGAGTGGTTTCGAACAGACTGTCTTTTGCCAATGGCATAGCTCAAAGAGAGGAAATCCATCCAGGACCGTTCCTGTCCTCTTGTGAAATGAACTGAGCGCATCCATCCTGTGATGAAGGGGGTGCTGATTAGACGTGGAGGACCCCAACCAGTTCCACGATGACAGTGGACATTGCCTAGGACGATGCTGGCCAGAAAGAGAAGTAGCAGGGTCTGCCTGGGCACACAAATGTCCCAGGGAGCTGCCTCTTACAGCTGCCCAGGCTCCCAGGGAACTCACAAACCCCAGAGGACACGCTGCAGATCTTATACCTAAGCCCAGGATGGCAGTTCTTTATCGTTCACCCAAATACAACCACTTCTGACTTCACTGAGTACAAAGGGCACCAGATTTCAAGACTTCTATGTCACAACCTGTGCCAACAAAACAAGTAAGTAGATGTGGGGGCCAGACCAGGTGGAGGCAAGCTGGGAAGACTTCCTGGAGGAGGTGGAGGACAGAGAAGCTTTGCAGCTGGGTACGCTTGAATGGGAAAAGGCTCATTTCTGGCTTTAGCTGGCCAAGAAGTCAATCAACTCCCTGTTTCTTACAGTGCCCACCTGTATTAAAATGGCCTGGCGTGCTTGTTAAAAATACCCATTTCTGAGTGCTACCCCCAACATGTACCAAAACAGAACCTCTAAAGGTGGGGGGAGGGTGGGGATGGCTGCTAAGAATACTCAGATTTTTACCAAATTCTCCAAGCACTTCGTTTTTATGCAAACCACAGGGTGCAGGCAAGGGGGCTGGGGGGAGCAGCTCCAAGTACGCGGGCTGAACCGGGCCCACGCTGATCTGGGAAGAGCTGGGCAGGGAGGACCCGTGAGGAGTCACTGAGGAGAGGGACAAGGCAGGTGCAGACAGAGGGCTGTTCCAGGACTGTTTAGTCACAACATCCCCCAAGCCCTCTCCCACCGACACTTCCTGTTATGATCCTAACTGGAGCTGGCTGGTGACAGAAAACGTCTGTGCCAGTGCACAAAGGGCAGGGGAGAGAGGGAAGGAGGGAGAGAGACAGAGACAGAGACAGAGAGAGGATGAATATCTTTCAGTTTACAAGCTATAACAGGAAGGCTGGGAGTATAAGAAAAATCAGGTCTAGGCGACCAGACACTATAGTAATGAGAAACTCTATCGGGACAACAGAAGTCTGGTTGGTTGAGATTTACGTAACCTCAGAACTTCCTCATCCCAAACAAACATCACCTACACTCTAACTGCGGGCAGCCACCCCCAGCTGGAGAAGACAGCCCGAGGTTGCGTGTGTATTGTCGGTGGAAGGTTTGGACTACTGTGGTCTCTGTTGCAGGCGGCAGGAGAAGGGCCTCTTTCATGAGTTTCCTCAACTTCACACAAGTGCTCTCTTATGCAGAGACGCTGGGCCAGCCTCCATCCACATGAGTGGCTTCCAAATACCCCTCCAGGCTGGCTCTCCTCAGCCCTGAAGAAGAGGGGGACCCCACCCCCAGCCCAAGATTGCTGGACAAAACCCTCAATCCACACTGAGGCACGAGCGGAAACCCGCGTTCCCTTAGATCTGCCCAGATCCCCAGTAAACGCTGCCTCTGCTGGGTTTGCACTTAGCGCCCGACACACCTGCTGTCAGGAGGCGTGAATCACAGGCGCGGCACGCTGGACTCGCCGCCGCCGGGTTCGGGGCTTCACAGCTGGCTCTCACGCACCCGGATGTCATCCTCCACCTACACACACCCCCAAGGCACGCTGGGACAGATCAGGCTACAACCCAATTTCTACTAAACGACTCATTCCCAGGGGAGGTCCATGGAAGGAAGGAGAAGGGTACACGGAGATGCTTCTCCCACTCATGGTCAAGGGTCCTCTCCCCTCTACACCCTGGAGGGTCTCATCTGCTGGCCATAAACAGCGAGAAGGGGGTGAGTTAACCTGGGAAAGGAGATGGGATGGACTTCTCAGTTCTGAACCATCTCCAGAATAAAGACCGTCTGCCCAGATGAATAAGCTTTAGCGCCCTCCTGTAGCACAGCGCCTATCGTTAAGGATCCTATCTTGTACACTTAAACATTTGCTAAGAGGGGAGAGCGTCCATTAAGTGTTCTTGTCGCCAAAAAATAGTAAAATAGTAAATAAGAGGGCGGGAGGAAACTTTTGGAGGTGATGCGTATGCTTACGACAAAGACCGTGGTGACTGTGGTATCAGATTCACAGCGTATACTTATCACCAAACTCACGAGTTGCAGACATGAAACATGTATAACCTTCTGGATGTCAATCATGCCTCAGTTAAGTGGTCTTTAAAGAAGACAGCCTGCTGAATCCCTCTCAACTTTCACTTTTTCACAAGACAGCACTTTCTGCCATGCAGGATCCTGAAATGGATCCTGTACCAGAAAAAGGACATTAGTGGGACAGCTGGAAAAATTTGAATAAGGCCTGGAGATTAGTTCAAACTATTCTATCAATGTTAATCCCCCACTTTGATCATCTCACTATGAATCTATAAGATGTTAACATATAGGGTAGCTGGGTGACAGGTATAAGGGAACTCCGTGTACTGTTTGCACAACTTTCCTGTAAATCTAGATTTCTATCAAAATCAAAAGTTAATAATAATTTTTAAAAAGACAGCATTTTAAATCCAGCTGCCTAGTAAATCTCAGTCTCTGGCATTGCTAATATAATTTCGACCCTAGTCCTGGAGGCAAATTTCAAGTTACTCTCATAACCAATATGCTGATCAACTCTTTGCTGCAGGAGAAACAAAACGAAACAAAACCTGCATTCACTCAGCAAGCACTGTCTGGGCTCCTACTGTATTCTGGCTCCCAGCTGTGGGATTATCTGCTGGCTAAGTGGTGCAATCTCCCTCCAAGCCCACCTCGTAAATGTCTACCAAGAGGGCCACTCCTCTGATTTTAGACATGACTGACTGAGAGCAAAGAGAGTAACTTCTGGGAATTTTCCAAAGGAAATAATTCAGAATGTGCAAATCCTTATGTACAAAAGACACTCACCAATGCATGAATTCAAAGGGTAAAAATTTGGAAATACCTTGGTGTCCAACAATGGGAGAATTGTCACGCAAACTATGATTCAATGCCTGCAGTGAATACAGTCATTATATGGGGAAATGTTCAAAAAAAAAAAAACACAAAGTGAGAGGGAATAAAGCGGGAAACAAAGTTGTACATATTTGCAGGATTTCAGCAGTGGGGACATATTGTCAAATTGCATTACTGTGGGAACTGGGTGTTTCCTTTCCTGTTTTTTGCTCTTTTTTGTAGTTTTCTATAAAAGACAGAGAAAGGGCACGGATTACCTTTAAAATCAGACGGGGTGCAGAGGCGGGGCTTCCGGCCATCAGTGGGACAATTTCAACAGTTCCTCTCCCAGAGAAGGTGAGGAAGGGCCACAGGGTACATACTGCACCAACGTGGGCAGTTCCACGGACCTGGGTGTGGCCAGGGCACAGGCTCCTGGGGGAGGGGCGGTACCAACACACATCACCTTTTTTCTTCCTGTGGTGCCTGGCTCTCCCCCTCTTCCCAAGCAGGTGCTCACGGGAGGCACTGGCACCCTGCACACAGTCCAAGGGAGACCCGTGACTGCTTCCAGAAGTGTTCTATGCAGGAGGGACTTTTGGGCAGGAAATGGATCATCACAGACAAACTGCCAACGGAGCTGGAGGGAGGGGAGGGAACCCCGTATCTGGGAAAGCACCCCCAGGAAACCATCTTCGGGGGAAAGAGTTGAGGACAAGTGCCAAAGGGGGAGCAGGAAAAGGAGGCCCCTGGTTTATCTGCACATCAAGGCGGATTCGCTCATTCATTCAGCAGACATCTACTCTGCACCTACTCAGCGACAGGCACGGCGCCGCTGCAAACAGCGCCCACACAAAAGGACGAGGATCGGGGGGGCTGTGGATTCAGAAGCAGCGTGCTTCCAGGTCAGGACTCAAGACTACGCCCCCTCCCCGCGCTGGCCGGGAAACCGCTTCCATTAACAATGTGCACTGACGGCGGGGGGCGGGAGTACGCCCCGGACCGAATGCCTGCTACCTCCCACCCGTTCAGAAAGATGCCTGATGGATGGCGCAGTCCTTGCAGTATAGCCGCTCACCAGCAACCAGGACCGGGGACCAGAGACATTCACCACCCCCCCGGCGAGGGGGGCTCCAAGCGCTGCGCCCCGATCGCATTCTGGGTCGCCAATGGGCAGACGACGGGAGCTCACCGAGGCGGCTCAGCTCTCGAGGTAAGGGGCCCTGCAGGGCGACAAGGTGAGAAGGTAAGTGCGATGGGGGGTCGGGCGGATACGCCCAGCACACGGACCTCTCCCCAACTTGGGGCTCTGTCCCCCGGGGCAGCCAGCGGCCAGGAGGCGTTGGAAAGGGAGATGACCGAGAGCGCCCAGGATGGGCGATGACCACCGCCACCGGGAGAATCGACTCCGCTTGGAGGCAGAGGGATGGCTAAAATGACCTCTGGAAAGATGTCAATTACAAGAACAAAAATTTCAACCCAGAACCCCATGACCTTCATAAAGCGACGCAGGGGGTGAAATCCCCCCCTCTTCCCCCGGATCGCGGGGCAACTTACCTACAGGTAAGGGACTCGACTGTTAGGTAGAATGTGCATCAATCCACGGATGGAGACGAGGTTGTGGGTCATCCGAGCCCGGCCGAGACGCACCAAGTAATCCACGTTAGGGGGTCCGGAGGCCCCTACCCCATTCCCAACTTTCCATCCAAGGCCAAAGCGCCGGCAGCCCCGGCCTCTGCGCCCGGGACCCGCGGAAATCGCGCTTGGGTTCGCTGGCCCGGGTTCCCCAGCGGCGCCCCGGCGACCCCGGCGAGCGCACCCCGCCTCCTCGCGCTCGGAGAGCAGCGCCTCGCCTTTCTTCGCTGCTCATCGCCAGCGCGACCCCAGAGATCCCAGCCGGGAACCCCTCTGCCGAGCCCGGGAAAGCGCCAAAGGCAAATCCGCCGGGCCTGGGGTTTGCAGGTCCGCGGGGCCCGGGCGGCGGGGGCTGGGAGCCCGCCGGGCAAGAGAGACTCAGGAGAGAAGCACCGAGCGGCGGCTGCCAGTTACGGGGTGTGACGCCCCGCGCCCACACCGCCTCGACCGCGCCACCTCCGCGCTCTGCTCGCCGCCGGACCATTCTGCCTTTAAATAGCAGCCGGGCCCGGGGCGGGGAGGGGCGGGGAGGGGCGGGGAGGGCGGGGAGCGGGACGAACTGTTTCCTGGGAGATGTAGTTCCGTCTTCCAGCCACAACAAACGCAGAGCAGCGTAGGAATGGTTGGGGTCCGCCCGCCAACAGCTGTCCTCCCCGGCGCCCTAACTCCGGAGACAAGGCTGGGATTCCAGCCTCACTGCCAGCTCCGTTAGGTCTAGGCTGCCCTCTGTGCATAAGGTGGGTCACGCCAAGCTAAATTCTGCCCAGGACGACCAACCTTAGTAGCCCTGGAGTCGGGCAAACCCAGCTAAGTTGCAACCCCTGCCTGCCAACAACTAGCTGTGTGCCCTTCACGTTGGAATGACCATGTATGCCTCGGATTCTTCATCCGACACAGAGACGGGATATTAGGGTCTGCTTCCACTGGATCGTAGAGGGAGGTGACCCTCCAGGGCGGCCTGATCTCCCCATCCCTAAGTGCTAAGCAAACGTGATTTCAAGGCTCCACTTGTGCAAACCACCTGCCACCCTGAGACCCTCCAGATTAAAATTCTGGAGCTCCCACGGCCCGGTCAGTCAGGCTTCAATTTCTGAAGCCGCGTCTCGTTCATTCACCACCTGCACACACTGGACGCAGGAAAGCAGGAGTCAAGCCAGAGGGGCTCAGTCAAGCCTGAGGAGGACACGGCATCGTGATAACTGCGTGGATGTGAAAGAGGCTGTAAGGACCACGGGCACCTAACCCTGCCTGGGGGCAACAGCCAAGGTGTCCAGAAGGCGGGTGTCTGACCTCATTCTGGAAGGAATGGTTAGGAAGTAGCCAAACACAAAGCAACCACAAACGAGGGCAAGAGAGCCATGCCTATGAGGAAACACTGAGGGTATAAAAGAAGGAAGGGGGACAGGCTGGGGGGGGGGGGGCTTGTGTTAATTTCCCGGGGCTGCTGTACAAATACGTGGCTTAGACTACAGAAATGTATCGTCTCACAGTCCTGCAGGGTATTTATTGATATGTGCATACACATGGGTTAGTACGCACACATGTATCTCCCTGCTCTCTCTGCTGAGAGGTCCTAGAAGCAACGATACCCCAGTAGCAATAAGCACTAGAGCCATGGTTTGTTTCTAATACCACTGTCCAATAAAACGAACCAGGGCTCCTTGGAGAAATGGCTGATTCTAGGACTGAGGCAGGAAATATACAAGATGAGCCAGGAGCATCTCACAGCCCCAGAAAGACTGCCTGAAAGCACATGCACTCACGCCACACAGTGATGGGGTACCTCGAAAGGATACAGAAGCCAATTCAAAGAGCTCCTAATGGCCAAAGTCGGGGAATGATCTGAGCAACAAAGTAAGTACAATGGTGTAGGATTATAACCCAAAGTATAAAACAAATATTCATGATTCCACACGGATATACGTAGATCATTGAATAAATAAATATATGAGGGAACATAAAATTCATGTAGCTTATTCTGCCTTGAAGGAACTAGAGCACAACTTCTGGCTCCTTAAGGAAGGGCTGCTCTCCTTCCAAGAGTAAAGTGTGGAGGGTGGGTAGGGCACAGAGTGCTCCCTTATCATCTAATCATGAGAAAAATTCCAGTGCAGGGACATTCTACAAAATGCCTGACCAGTGCCCCCTCAAAGCTATCGAGGTCACCAAAGATAAGGAAAGTCTTATGTGAGAAACGTCCACAGCCCGGAGGAGACGAAGGAAATATGCGACTAAATGTAAAGTGGGGCCCTGGACCAGAAAAAGAACGTAAGATCAGAACTAAGGAGATCTGAATAAAGCAAGAGTCTAATCAATCATAATGTATCAATATTGATTCATTCACTGTTGCAAGTAAGATGCTAATAAAGGATGCTAATAACAGGAGGACCTAGGTGTGAGGTATATGGGAACTCTCTGTACTATCTTTGCAACTGTTCTGTAAATCTATTCTAAAATAGCTTAAAATCATATATATATACACACACACAACCCTTATACATATCCACCCACATGCACGTGGTAAAAAATTGCAGCATCTACTCTCTCATGTATCAAGTTTCCACATTCTGGGAGCAGGTTCATAGTTCTCTGTTCTGTTATTGGTCCATTTTTTCCTAACTCCATGCCATTATCACATGCTTTAATTCTTATAAAATTCTTAGATCTTAATATTCAGTGGGACATTTCACCCACTTTCCTTCAAGAGTTGCTTGGCTATTCTTGCACTTCTGCATTTCCAAATTAAATTCAGAATTAGTGTGTTAAATTTCAAGTACATATAAATGAAAACTGTGGAGGAAGAATACCTCCAGAAGCCCCTCACTGCTCACAAAATTACATGTAAACTTGACAGCTTGGCATCAAAAGCCTTTTATGCCTGACCTTATCCAACAACCCTCCCTGCACTCCAAGCTAACTGGAATATTTGCTGTTTCCAAGCCGACTTCAGCTTTCTCTAGTCCTCACTGTAGACCCAAGTGCCTCCTCTCCCCAGCCTGCTTCTGCTTATGGAGCTCTGTACATATCTCCTACCTACCTTCCAAGGCCAGCTCACATGTCACCTCTTCCATGAAGTCCTCCCACATGTCCATGACCTGAGAGAACTCCATTCAACCAACGAGCACTCTGAGTCTTTTCTAGGCTAAGTTTCTTGAGGTCAGGCATTCATTCCTCTTTGTCATGATCCTCCTATCCCCAACGTTGAGAATGTTGCACAGAGTAGGGGCTTCAGAGGTATCTGGAAATTCGATGTAGTGCTTGCAGTAGGGTTCCTGGCACCAGCGTACACTTGTTTTCACCGGTAGCGCCAATTCCAATGTCGTAGCTGCTGAGGTTCTCCGTTCTCTGGGAGCTTGCTGTGCGCCAGGCACTGTCCTGACATTTATGATGCATCACGTCATACAATCTCTCAATATGCCAATGGTAGGTGCTGTTATTAATCTCATCTTAGAGAAAAGAAAAATCAAAGCTGGGAACGGTTAAGCGAGTTGCTTAATGTCGTGGAGCAAACAAAGAGCAGAGTCAGGGCTCAACCCAGAGGCATCTCTCAGAAACATCTCTCCCCTACTCCACGCTTCCAGATAGCGTGACTGTAAATTTCCGGGAAGCAAGGGCTGAATCTTCTTACACCTGTACCTGCTGCACCAGAGTCTATTCCAGGAGGCGTAGGTGCCCTGCTCAAGCTGGTGTCAGAACGTGGCTGGACAGGTAGAAAGCACCCAGCACAGTGTCCTTCCTATGACAGGTGCCCAATAAATGTTAGTGACCCCATGATTCCACCTGCTCTCGGGTCCTTCCTTCTGCCCCATCCCTGCCCCACGTATGCTCTTCCGTCACCCATTCTACTCCCCCTTATCGAAAGGAGATGCCTCCAACAGTCCTGCAATGGTGACAAAGTGATGGATCGAAACGGACCACAGTGCAGGAGAGAGCGGTCAGTGTGATGGTGGGAATAAAGCACTGGCTTGGGACATGAGTGCTCAAAGCCGGACACCTTGTCTTCATCAATCAACACACATAACACATGGTATGAGGGCACAGGTCTGCGCGTCATGACTTTGGGAAAGTCTCTAAGTTTCCATTGTTTAGCTCATCAGAAAGGGGAAATCTACCTAAGAGTAGGTACACTTTGAGGCAAGAAAGCGTCAGGTTCAGCGGGTGATCTGAGCCAGACTAAATCCTAGGCTCAAAGCCCAGCTCGGGTACTTTCTAGTAACAGGGTACTGATGGATCTGTCCTCAGTGTCATCGTCTGTAGAATGGGGATAATTCATAGGGCTGTTTCAAGGCACAAATGAGTTAAGAGCTGGAAAACATTTGGGACGGTGCGTGGCACAGAGCAAGCGCTCAGTAAATACCAGCTCCTCCGTATGCTCCTGGGGCTTGTTCAGCTCCTTGCAGGAGCAGCTCAGAAGTGCCAGGGGCTTAACACCTCCAAGGAAAACCCTCAAGCCACGAGGGAAGGGAGCTGTTGGATAAATAGCCCATCCTTTCCCTCCTTCGATTTGGCCATTTTGAATTTTACTCTACCCAGTTGCTCAAAGGGTTCCCAGTAAGATTCAGCCCTGAATGCCCAAGGCATAACCTCTCACTAACCCACCATTAACTGACTTCCCCTCTCCTGATTCAGTCTCCGCACCCCCATCCTTCAAGGTGCTTCCAAAGATAAACTCCCAAATCGATGGCTTACACCCAAGTACACATCTGCTTTGAGAAGAACCCGAAGACGCCACCCACAAACTGGTTTTCTTTTCTAGATTCTTTATTCGCGCCTATGATCGTCTAAGTCTCCCAGACACCAGGGTTGAAATCTTTGGATCCGTTTTGATTCTTTGGCTCCATCCCTTAGCCGAGCCCTCCATGCTTGGACATGTCTGATTTCCACCATTATTCCTACCTAGCTCGGGTCCTCATAACCTCCCACCTATTACTTACCCCATTCTTCCTTCCTGGAATGTTCCTCTGCCTTTGCCAGGCTTGTCCTTTCTGAGTGGCATCCCTATGCCATGCTCTGTGCCAGGCGTGCCCTTCAAGGCTCCTCTGGGCTGGCCTTCCCTACCGCCCCGTTCCAGGGATGGCTCTCTTCTCAGAACTTGCTTTACACCGTTACCCATGCCATTCATTTAATATCGACAATGTGCTCTTTTTCATCACTGATTGTTTGCGTTATTGGCTCCTCCAACACATTGTATTGTCTTAGGGTCAAGAAGCATATCATATTTTTAAAATACCCTCAATAGGGCCTACGTCCACATTTGGCTGACAGTCTTACCTCGGTAACAAGGGAAAGGCAGGTAAAGGGTGTCCTGGCAAGTGGACAAACGTATTCATTCTCCACATTGTACTGAGTCAACCCCCAGAATCTCAGCCACAAAGCTCCACCCAGCGCGCGATCTGACAGCAAGCTGCCCAAGCTGGTGGGATGAATTGGCTGTGCGTGCACACCAACACCGTTCTGCCGGTCAGTATTTTTGACGGTTTACGGCATCATGAGGGGTTAAGGTGGGTGGTGCTACCACATATAAAAAGGATAGCGTCGGGACTTCCCTGGTGGTCCAGTGGTAAAGAATCCACCTTCCAACGCAGGGGACGCAGGTTCAATCCCTGGTCAGGGAACTAAGATCCCACAGGCCGCGGGGCAGCTAAGACGGCTCGCCCCAGCTACTGAGCCCGTGCACCTCAACTAGAGAGCCCGCATGACGCAAACTACAGAGCCCACGTGCCCTGGAGCCTGTGCGCCACAACTAGAGAAGAGAAAACCCGCACGCCACAGCTAGAGAGAAGCCTGCGCGCC